CATTTTGACATTAAAATGAATACACATAATTTCACATGACATTGACATGAAATTATGCAACTTGGAATCAAATCTGACCATCTTAGGCCAACTGAATGTTTTGAGGAGTGATGATGAGCCCTTCATAGATCAGTCTGAGCTATACAGAGGCCATCTGATGTAACTTGAAGCTGTTACTTACTTACTTAGTTATTTCCAGAACTAGGGTTTGAACACTTTGAGCTCTTGTTTGACTTTTTCTACTCACAGCTGGAACTCTACTGCTTGAGCTGTGCCTCTACTTCTGGGCTTTTGCAGATTAATTAGAGAGAAGAGTTTCACATTTGTTGGCCAGGCTGATTTTGAACCAGATACCAAGATCTTAGCTTAGGTATGAGCCACTAGCCATTGTGCCGATTTATTTTTGTAGCAATTGGAAATATAAAGTTAAGACTAAGGCAGTACTTTCCACTTCACTGAAAATGAAATTAATATTTAACAGTACTGCTCAGTAAGCTTTATTCTATTTTGATGGTAAGCTGTTATTAACAGGAAGCAAAGTGCTATTTGTAGTACATGCGGCAAGATCATCCCTAATTGCATGTGAACATTTTTGTAGCCTTTCAGACACATAGCCCTATTGAGCTTAACTTTTGTTCTGGTATTTTCTAAATTTAGTTCTTATGTTTTAGGATGCAAATCTCAAACTGGGAAACCAAAAAGATCTTTCCTTTCATGACTAGCAATTATATCAACAGGCGTCAGAGAATCCATGAACAAAGGTAATGCTGTGAAAGTTCACGGTATGAAGTAAAGTCTAGAAACTAAATTATTGTATACATTATCTATTCCTGTGAGCTCAAGTGTTTTGGAATGTTATGACATCCATTGGATAGGAGTGCAAACTTGTAAAACTTGGGAAAAAATAGAAGATGAGAGAAGTCCATGTTATACTCTTACTATTCAAGTCTATTGGAAAGTCCAGCTAGTGCAATAAGGTCCCTCATCCAAAGGAAGAAATGAAATTATTGTTGTTATAACATGATTGCTTATTTCCAAAGGCTAAGACATTAAACTAAGGAGGGCTAACAAGGAATTTGGTAGCTTCATTGCAATACAAAGGATTAAATTCAGTGTCTTGTGCACACTAGACAAGTGCTGTGCTACCTGAGTCAATACCCCTAACCTTTCAGTGAAAAATCTAAATACAAATTCAGAATTAAAAAAAAAATCAAAGGCCTTTCTGGAGGTCAATTATAACAAAATGGAAAATGCAACAAAAAAAAATTTTTGGGGGGGGTCCGGTAGTGGGGCCTGAGCTCTTGGCCTGGGCACTGTCCTTCAGCTCTTCAGCTCAAGGCTAGCGCTCTACCACCTGAGCTACAGCGCCACTTCCGGCTTTTTTCTTTTTGCTTCTGTGGTGCTGAGGAATCAAACCCAGGGCCTCAGGCATGCAAGGCAAGTGTTCTACCACTGAGCCATCTTCCCAGCCCAACAACACAAAAATTTTATCCACATGTTTCTAAGAAAGACAACTTAAAAAATGGCAGCAAAGGGAGCATGCCAAATAAACAAAGTAGAAAGTATAACAAATTAATCAATTGAATAAAATACAAGTGGAAAGACATTCCATTTTCAAGATGAAAGAGCTAATCTATTACATAGGTATCAGTTATATATTAGTAAAACAATTCCAGTGGAGGTCACAAGGGATTGTCATGGGAACTTGTCAAGCTGATTTTAAAACATATCTGAATCCTGATAACCTAAAACAGGAAACAGGAGGCATATAATAAGTATGTGTACATTGAGTAATCAGTGAATGACCTGCTCCAATCACAACTCATTAGAAGATGACTCACAGATGTGTATTTCCTCCAGATTCATCCTTTGAGCTGTAGACCTGTACATACATTTGCTTTAGTCATCTCTTCATTTGACTAATAGGAAAGTGATTCAAACTCATTATGTTAAAAAAAAAACCACCTCTCTTGCAATGTCTGTCCTTCAATAGTTAACAAGGTGGGAAAAATGAAAATAGGGTGTTATATCTTACTACCCAACCATCCCATTTGTGATGATTTAGGTTATCAGCAGTTGCTGGATTTATCTGCTGAAGTATTTCCTCAATCTATCCATGACTTACTTCTATACTGACACGAATATATGTCATAATTCCTTTGATAGTCTGGTGACAAAATACCTTTCTAGATTGTAACATCTCAAATGTTCTGCCACAGAACATTTGTTTGGTTTTGTTTTTTGTTTTTTTTGGTCCAGTCATGGGGCCTGAACTCTGGGCCTGGGTGCTGTCCCTCAGCTCTTCAGCTGAAGGCTAGCGCACTACCACTTGAGCCACAGCGCCACTTCCGGCTTTTTGTTTATGTGGTGCTGAGGAATCGAACCCAGGGCCTCAGGCATGCAAGGCAAGCGCTCTACCACTGAGCCACCTTCCCAGCCCATGTGAGTGGTTTTCATCATGGCAGCTGGCCTCAACAGAATGCCTAGTGAAGGATTATGAAAAAAGCCGCTATTTTTCATACCCTATCACTTCTGCTATTAAAGCCAGTCGCTAGCAACTATCTCCCTTTAACACTCAAAAGAGTGGACTACCAGGAGGTGGGGATCATTGGGAGCCCTATTAGAGACTCTTTACCATATGCGAAATACCTTCACCTCCTTACCAGATCTCCCAAAGCGATTTTTACTGTACAACAGCAGCTCAAAATCTTATTACAGAAATCAGGTCAGAGGGACTGAGGCTCCTCCGTAGGTATAGGTATTGAGGTACAGCTCCAGGAGCACAGGTTCTTTTCACTGACAGGCTCATGAAGCTAAAGCAGAAAATTGTCTGTCCTCTACTCCCAATGTAAGATAATCTGCAGGGACAGGATAACTACCATAGATATTCCTGTTCTGCAAGAGGGTAAGAGAGACACAGAAGAGTGACTTAAGTCCAGTCTAGGGGAGAAAATTATGCAAGGGCCTAAAAACCAGAAGTGGGGATCCCCAGGTATTATCTCCAAACAGCCCATATAACTGCTCTTATATTTGGCTCAATAATAAAAGGAGTATAAACTAGAAAACTATTTTATGGGGCTTGAGGTCTATATGGCATTGCTAACAATTTGCATTATAATTTTTCTTTGGCTCACAATAAAACATATTTTTGATGGCTTAAAAATTCGATGTCTACTGGATACTGATAGCTTATGACTGTAATTCTAACTACTCAGGAGGTTGAGCTCTGAAGATCACAGTTTGATGCTATGGCAGGCACTAAAGTCCATGAGACTCGGAAGTGGCACTGTAGCTCAAGTGGTAGAGCGCTAGCCTTGAGCGAGCTGAGGGACAGCGCTCAGGCCCAGAGTTCAAGCCCCATGACCAACAACAACAAAAAAAAGTCCATGAGACTCTTATCTCTGATTAATCACCAAAAGGCCAGAAGTGGAGCTGTGGTTCAAGTGGTAAAATATTAGCCTTAAATAGAAAAAGCTCAGGGAAAGTGCCTATGTCCTGAGTTCAAGCCCTAGGGCTGGCACAAAAAACAAATCAATTTTCCTTTACCATGGCTATAGATCTGATCACTGTTTCAGACTGTTGAATTTCTAAAGATTTTCATCATATTTTCCTACAGTTTAATATAGTATATCAGCTCCATAATTGCTCTTCTTTTCTGTATTTCTTCTTCAATTTATCAATAGTTTGTATTTGCATAAAACTGAATTTATTTTACGGTGAAATAACAGTGTCTCTGCTCTGAGTATGAGAACGGTTTCTCCTTCTGTACTGTGGACTAAGCTAGAGAAATAACTGTTTTCTCTATTTTGCTTTCTGAAGTCTTGATAGAAGATTTCTTTTATTTTTCTACTAGTCTAGAACTTTGATCCTCAAGCAAGGATACTTTTCTCCCCAGAGGAACATTTGAAAGCATTTTTTTGGTTTACAACTTGAGTTACTACTGGCATTTAGTGACTACAGGTTTAGAGGTACTGCCGAACATCCTCTAATATACTGGACAACCCTTACCATAGTAAAAAATTATCTAGCTCTAGTTCAAAATGTCCATAGTGCTGAGTTTGACAAACTCTGGTCTACCAACAAATCGGTCTACCAACAAATCAGTCCCTCCCTCCCACTTTCAATATGATGAAATTGCAAAGCTGTTTTGTATTTCTTACTTATTATATAAGCTGACTTTCTTTCTAATCACACATTTCAGCAAAATAACAAAAATATAGAACTTGACATATACTAGCAATTTCAGGCAAACCAGGTTTTACATCAATTAGTGAATCACTAAATAGTACAGTCTGAGATAAAGGGCATCTAGAAAAATAAAATTTCACTAAATGTGCATTCAGAATAATTCTTTTGATTAATCAACACATACTGGATTTTTTTGTGATACTTTGTAATCGAATTTTATTCTTTAAGCATATAGTTATTATTAGAAAATATCTATACCCAATATACCCAAACTAGAGCATAATTTAGGAAATAATTAAAATTTTTGTATATTCTTACGGATATCAAAATAAAACCTGGGCACTAGTGGCTCACACCTGTAATTCTAGCTACTCAGGAGGCTGAAATCTGATCTAGGTTTAAAGCCAGCCTGAGAAAGAAAGTCTGTGAGATTCTTATTTCCAATTAATCATTAGAAAACCAGAAGTGGTGCTGTGGCTCAAAGTGGTAGAACACCAGCCTTGAGCAAAAAAAGCTTAGGGACAGCACCCAGGCTCTGAGTTCAAGTCTCATGACTGACCAAAAAAACCCCCAGAACCCAAAATTCTAACAAAAACAAGAACAAGTGGTCACACAACTTATAGTGGTCACTGTGAAATCCCTAAGATACCTACAATGTCTTTAATAACAATGCTGAAGATTATTATCTTATAACCTTTAATTTCTATAAATTCCCTTATGCCTGTCTATGATTTTATGAATCATCTGTCCAAATATACAGAACAGGCCTCTGATATTGAACAATTCAGTAACTATTTTTCTTAACAGTTGGCTAGCTTGTTTCATAATGTAAAGATGTTATCTTTTACATCAGTTTTTATCTTCAATGATGTATGAAAGGTCTAATATCAAATTGGCTGTCTCTACGGCCACCTGTAGGCCATTAAGCTTGGCAGTCAAACAGTCCACAGTTAGACTGCTGGCTGAGCCCACAGCTGCTAAGCCCACATCTGCACGTGGAAGGTAGGTTCGTGGTGCAAAAGGAGGATGCGTGCCTCTTAAGAAGGACCAGCCAAGTTGTTCCTGACTACTGAGTAATCCACAGCCACATCTTGAAAGCAAATCCGACCAGTTACTGACAGAGGGAGACTCTGCTTGAACTGACCAAAAGTGTCCATACTTCATGTCAGTCAGAATTTCACCTCCATCATGTTCCAAAGAGCACGCGGGAGATTCTAAAGCACTGCAAAATGCTTTTGCCATTAACTGAAGCTCTGCTTGAGTACAGCCGCAGTCTTTGAGAATGCTTTCGGCTTCACTGTGAGTCTAACAACAAAAAGCAAAAAACAAAGAGCAATTAATATAAAAATGTTTCAGAACAATAAGATACTTGATTGAAACCTTATTCATAAGGCTACCATTCATTTTCATTTTGGGGACAGTTAATGGGGTGGTCAACCAAATTGGTCCTTAACAAGGCTGGTTATGGTAGAAATATACATTTCTAGTCATATAATCAGAATGAGTGAATTAAAGTAGCCCCACCACCAGCTTATTCTGAATGACTTCCTGGTAATGCCTTCATATCTATGATTTTTATATACACCAGGAATGTTTTTGAAGATAATGTTCCAAATGAAGAACTGTTATATAAGCAGAATGTTTGTGATTTGTTTAGAATGAGATTGCACACATTATTAAGATACTATTTTGGTACTTCATATAGGTACAGTCAGTCATCTGATTCACCACAAAAGTGGCAAAAATGAAGACTGGAAAAAAGACAGCACCTTCAACCAATGGTGCTGGGATGGAGAGGATTGAATCTATGTCTCAGTCTCTCACTTTGTAGAAAAATCAGCTCAAAAGTGGATTCAAGATCTTAATGTAAGACTTGAGTATTTGAAATTACTGGAAGGAAACACTTGAAGATTTAGACATAGGCAATGATCTTCTAAATACAACTCTAATAACTCAGGAGATAGTAGCAAGAATTGACCAATAGGGTTGCATATTGCATAATATTCAAAAACATCTGCACAGTAAAGGAAAGGAAACAGAGTTAAGAAACAGCCTAAAGAATGACAGAAATTTTTGTAAGCTGTTTATCCAACAGAAAATTAATATCCAAAATATATAAAAAATGAAAAATCCAACTAAAATTTGGCAAATGAACCAAATACATAACTTTCAAAAGAAGTACAAATAGCCAATAAGTCTGTCAACATCTTTACCTATAAAAGAAAGGCTAGTCAGAACAGCATGGTTTTGACTGAATATTATTGCAAAGGAAACAAGAACAAATGGTAGCAAGGATGTAGGGAAAGAGGAGACTGCATACTTTGGTGTAACCATTACACAAATCAAATTGATGGAAATCAACATAGAGGTGCCTCAAAAAACTAAAGATAGAAACTACCCCATGATTCAGCTGTGCCACTCCTGGGCACATACCTTAAGGAATCAAACTCAGCATACACTAAAGATAGCACACACACTTTACTGAAGCACTATTTACTCGAACCAAGTTATGGAATCAATTTAGGTATCAGTCAACAGATGAACAGCTACAGAAAATGTGGTACTATCTACACAATAGAGTATCATTTAGCCACAAAGAAGAACAAATTATGTCATTTTATGGAACAGAAGATCATTATGTTAAGTGAAACAAGCCAGACTCAGAAAGACAAATACCATATGTTTTCTCTTTTATGTAGAGTCTTTATTAAACACACACACAACACACACACAAAGAGACACGAAAGTATAAGGAGCTATTTGCTATTTATGGACTGACCAGAAAGAGAGTGCTGGGGGAATGAATATGACTGAAGTACATATGAAAATGTCATAGTGATACCCATTATTTATAGTTAATTAAAAATGCTATTTAAAAACAAAACAAATGCAGTTTTCACGTCAATATGTTACAATGGAGAGTCTTTTCTTCAAATCAACAAAAAACGTAAGATCACTTTAAACTGCTTCTTTGCCCCAGTATTCAAAACAGTCTATTTTGGTCATTTTTTGTTGTTGTTGTTGTTGTTGGTCATGGGGCTTGAAATCTGGGCCTGGGTGCTGTCCCTCAGCTCTTCAGCTCAAAATTAGTACTCTACCACTTGAGCTACAGCAACACTTCCAGTTTTCTGAGTGGTTTATTGGAGTTAGGAGTCTCGAACTTTCCTGCCTGGATTGGCTTTGAATCATGATCCTCAGATCTCAGCTTCCTAAGTAGCTAGGATTACAGGTGTGAGCCACCAATGCCCAGCTGAGCATTTCTTAAGAGAGAAAAATTAATATATTAGCAAACAGATAACCTATTAACAGTGATAATACTTGTTTTGTAACCAGGTGTGGACCAAGTGAGATAATCTACACTGCACTGTTGCATTTTTTTTTGTCAAAAACCAATTTAAGGGCTAGGAATGTGGCTTAGTGGTAAAGTGCCTGCCTAGCATGCATGAAGCTCTGGGTTCCATTCCTTAGTACCACATAAACATAAAGAGCCAGAAGTATTGCAGTGCCTTAAGTGGAAGAGTGCTAGCCTTGAGCAAAAAATCCCCCCAAAACTCAGGCCTAGGCCCTGAGTTCAAGCCCCAGAACTGGCAAGGAAAAAAAAAACACCAAAAAATAATAATAAAACCACTTAAGGTATCTCCTTCTTTCAAAATACTTTCTCTACTTACTCAATTTCATTTGCAGAATAAATTATCATGCATTCAGTAACAGATGGCATATGTTTTGTTTTTTATAATGTGAGTTTTGTTAAACGTTCACTAATGGGCTTTATCTTCAAATAGATATGAGATTATTTAGGAAACCAGGGAAGGATATGTAGTGAAAAGATTCCATTGCTTCCAATCCCTCTACTGAGGCCCTCAGTAACTCTGTTTTATGCAATTTAGTGAACTATGGCTATTTGGAAAACACTTAATTTCAAATTATTAATAATTAAGAAAATAATCAGAAGGATAACACACTAAACTTATCTGATAACTGTCAAGTATAACTTTTTAATAGACTAACCAGAAATTCTATTCAGTAGAATTTTATTTGGAATCTATTAATTAATAAATTAAATAGAATTATGGTTAATTCTAACTAAAATCTCCCATAAATAGATACCAACTTAAAAAATATAACAACATTTGGAGTGTTCTGATAGATTTTTTTCAATGCTCTAAGAAGTACTGAAATATTTTGTAGAACCTAAGCACTCTATTATGAGCATCACTTACCATATTTCAGTAGTTAAGTTGAGAACTTCTGTAAACAGAATGCTAACTTAATATGAAATACATGTAGACAATACTAATGGCATGACTCAGTAAGAGATTAGACTTACAAAATTCACTGTAAGATGTTACCTTATATTTCCAAGTATTATTTTCCTAGCTTCTTTTTTCCAAACATAATGTCTGAGTTAGATTTTGGAAAAAAATAGCATGAAATGTTTTAGGGTATTATGATTTGGTTTATTATTGCATAAAACAAAAGTTGTTAGCAATTCAGGTGATCTGAAGAGGACCAATTTACCTTGTTTCTGATGTATGCAGCCAAATGAGTCTCTGTGCAGCCACCTCCCAACAAAACCCAGGGTTCCTTAATTGTTAGCTGCAAAGCATGCAGTGCTGTTTGACATGCAAGCTACAAAGGAAACACATGAGAATCAAGAATTCACATCAGATACCAAAGTATAACCAGGCTCTCAAAACATTTATAGTGGGCTCTTTATTGACAAAGAACAAAATCTGTTGTCAAAGTTGTAACTTGATTAACTTTGGAATGATAAAGAAGGTCTCCTTTTGTAGAGTTAGAATAATTATTTTATTTTATATACAATTTATTCTTCAAATGATTTACAAATGTCTAGCCTAAAAATACCTGAATTAGCCAGCTATTTTTGCTAAACTAAAAAAGTCTGGTTGTAATGCTTCAAAAAAAATCATACACCATGATCAAATAGGATTCATTTCAGGGATGCAAAGCTGGTTCAACATATGCAAATAAAATAATATAATTCATCACATCAACAAGAGCAAGGATAAGAACCACATGGTTATCTCAATAGATGCAGAAAAAGGATTTGACAAGATCCAACACCCCTTTATAATCAAGGCTCTGGAAAAACTAGGAATCAATGGACCATTCCTCGATACAATAAAGGCTGTATATGACAAACCTATAGCCAGCATTATACTTAATGAAGAAAAACTAAAGCCATTTCCTCTAAAGTCAGGAACAAGACAAGGATGTCCACTCTCTCCACTTTTCTTCAATTTAGTATTAGAATGCCTAGCTACAGTAATAAGACAAGATGAAAACACAAAGGGGATCTAAATAGGGAAAGCTGAAGTAAAACTCTCCCTCTTTGCAGATGATATGACCTTGTATTTAAAGAATCCCACGGACTCCACTCTCAAGTTACTCGAGCTGATCTGAAACTTTGGCAAAGTAGCAGGGTATAAAATTAACCCTCAAAAATCAATGGCTTTTCTGTATGCCAACAATGAGAAGAGTGCAGCTGAAATCAGGAAAGCAACTCCTTTTGTAATAACCCTACAAAAAATAAAATATCTAGGAATTCACCTAACTAAAGAAGTGAAGGACCTCTATGATGAAAACTTTAAAAACCTGAAAAAGGAAATCAAAGCAGAACATAGGAAGTGGAAAAACTTCCTATGCTCCTGGATTGGAAGGATCAACATTGTGAAAATGGCAATACTTCCCAAGGCTATCTACAAATTCAATAGGACACCTATCAATATTCTAACCTCATTCTTCAATGAAATAGAAGAAGCAATCCAAAAATTCATATGGAACAATAAAAGACTCTGAATAGCAAAAGCGATCCTTAGCAGAAAGAACAGTGCTGGAGGAATATCAACACCAGATTTCAAACTCTACTACAAAGCCATTGTAATCAAAACAGCTTGTTACTGGCACAAGAACAGACCTGAGGACCAATGGAATAGAACTGAAAACCCAGAAATGAACCCACAGACCTACAGCCACCTAATCTTCGATAAGGGAGCTAAAAAAAATAGAATGGAAGAAAGACAGCCTCATGGTGCTGGCAAAATTGGTTACTCACCTGTAGAAAACTAAAAGTAGATCCTTATATATCATCCTGTACCAGAATCAACTCCAAATGGATCAAAGACCTCGGAGTCAAAGCAGACACCCTGAAAACATTACAGGAAGGAATAGGAGAAACCCTAAGTCTCCTTGGCACAGGCTGAAATTTTCTTAATAGAGACCCAGAAACACAACAAATCAAAGAAAGGTTGGACTAATGGGATTGCATGAAGCTGCAGAGCTTCTGCATGGCAAAGGACATAGCTAGCAAGATCAATAGAAAGCCCACGGATTGGGAGAAGATCTTCACTAGGTATACAATGGATAAGGGTCTAAAATATACTTGGAACTCAAAAAATTCAATACTTGGAGCTCAAAAAATTAAATCCCCCAACAATAAATCCTCAAAGAAACAACTTCTCGATAAGTAAGTGGGCTAATGACTTAAAGAAAAACTTCTCTGAAGAGGAAATAAGAATGGCCAATAGATATGTGAAGAAATGCTCAACCTCTCTAGTCATAAAAGAAATGCAAATCAAAACAACATTGAGATTCCACCTTACTCCAGTTAGAATGGCTATAATCAAGAACTCTAACAACAGATGCTGAAGGGGATGTGGCCAGAAGGGAACCCTACTCCATTGTTGGTAGGAGTGTAAACTTGTTCAACCACTTTGGAAAGCAGAATGGAGGTTCCTCAAAAGACTCCACATAGAGCTGCCCTATGACCCAGCAATCTCACTTTTGGCATTTACCCAAATGCTCACAAACAAGACTATACTACAGCTACCAACACAACTATGTTTATTGCAGCATTATTGACCATAGCTAAGGTATGGAACCAACCCAGATGCCCCTCAGTAGATGAATGGATCAAGAAAATGTATATATATATATATATATATATATATATATATATGTATATATATATATACATATATATATATATATATATATATATATATGAATTCTATGCCTCCATCAAAAAGAATGACATTACCCCATTTGTTAGGAAATAGAAAGACTTGGAAAAAATTATATTAAGTGAAGTTAGCCAGGCACAAAGAAACATAGGTCCCATGGTTTCCCTTATTTGCAATAACTAATGTATGTCTGGGACAAGCAGAAAAGGTCAAAAGCTATGTACATATGACCAGATAAGATGATGTTAAGCCAAATGAACCCCAAGATAGGGACACAAGTGTTTTTTTCTTTCTTGCTATTGTTTCTAACGTGTTTATAATGTACCATGTGATTTTTTTGTTTCTTTGTATGTTCCTCCCCCACATATATAACCTGTTTTCACTGTATTTGATGTTGATGCCCTGCATCTTGAATATACACTTCTCTAATTTGGGGAGGGGAAGGGAAAAAATAAAATGCTTAAATAGGGATACAATGAGATGCACAAAACACTGTGTTGAAAAATTGCAAAAAATTGCAAATCAAAACAACATTGAGATTCCACCTTACTCCAGTTAGAATGGCTATAATCAAGAACTCTAACAACAGATGCTGAAGGGGATGTGTGTGCGGGGGAGTGTAGTTGTGGAGCTGGAAGGGAAGGCATGGTAAGGGAAAAACAAAGGAGAAGGTAACAATGCTTGATAGGAAATGTACTCATTACCTTGCTCATATAACTGTAACCCCTCTGTACAGTATTTTTACAATAAAAAAGTATAAAAAAAAGTCTGGTTGTATCTAGAATTTATTTCAAATAGTTATAACCCAGCAATAATAGAAAAGCAGCTGGATGTTGGTTAGCTCAAGTCTGTAATCCTAGCTACTCAGGAGGTTTAGATCTGAGGATCTCGGTTCAAATCCAGCCTGGGCAGGAAAGTCCATGAGACCCTTATCTCCAGAAAACCAGAAGTAGATCTGTGGCTCAAAGTGGTAAGGCACTAGCCTTTAGCAAAAAGCTCAAAGACAGCACCCAGGCCCTGAGTTCAAACCCCAAAACTGACAAAATAAATAAATAAATAAATAATGAAGAGCATACAGATTTCTGACTCATCAAAGATATATATATTTTCACATATGTGAATCTTTAAACTTGTGATCAATACATAGATTATCATCTCCCTTGTATCTAAAAACTGCATGTGTTCTTGGCAGAGAATAATAAGCTAGTAAGAGATAGATGACAGATATTGACTAAGGAACTCATTTGCTAATTGAATTATTCATAATACATATTAGCATATATAATCTAATGTCTGAAGAAAAGTTTACATCCAGGACCTTTAAGTTTCCTTTTTCTTACCTTTTTTTTTTTTTTTTGGTGAAGACAGAGGAGTTTCAACTCACAGACTCATGCTTGCTAGGCAGGCATTTAACCTTTTTGCTTTCGTTTTTTAAAAATGTGGTCTTATGTTTTTTCCTTAGGAGGTCTAAGCCACAATCCTCCAATTTAGGCTCCCCAGCTAGCTGTGATGACACGTGAGCAACCATGCTCAGCTTTTTACAGGTTCAGATAGGGTCTCTGAGACTTTTTGTTCAAGTTAGTTTTGAACTGTCATCTTCCTGATCTGTACCTTCCCAATAGCTAGTATTATGGACATGAGCTACTCTTGGCTCAGGTTTTTGTAAAATGTGGAAAGAACACATCAAGTCAATTATAGTGTCACAGACCAGACTTCTGATTTTGCTCTTCTTCTGGTATTGAGATTGTGCTCAGCATCACTCTACCACAGACCCACATCTCCTATTCCAACTTCTCTCATTTTTGGTTTTGCTTTTTATACCACTAAGGAAATTATGGAAAATAATGTGAAAACACCCTTAAATGTGGAACTCCAAATTATCACCTACCTTCAGCTCATCCCAGGCGGTGTCATTCCTGCTGCAGAGCAGCAAGCTGCAGACAGTTGCTTTGTCAGGAATGAGATGAAAGAAATGTTTGGAGCCAAATTGCGTAGAGCCCACCTCTTTCACACTTCCGTAGCTACTTGGAGAGACTGAGCCTAAGGAACCGATAGGCTGTGTTCCTATTTTTATAAAGAACAGAAAACACAAAATATATAAGGAAAGGTGGGGCAAACATTCATTTAAAAATGAATAAAGATGGATAAATGAATAATGCTTCTTCAAGCTCCATCAAAGCTTTTCATTTAAAATATGAAATTCAGGAGTAAGAAATACAATGCATCTCATGAAATCTCTTGAGACTCATATTCTGTTACTAAAATGATACACTTATAGAGTCAAGCACAAGTTCTTTGGTTTAGACTATTTCATGGTACTGAGGATTAAACGCTGTGCCTCCTGCACATTAGCCGGGTGCTCCTACAGTTAAACTACATCCCCAATTCCACTTTTTTGAACATTTGTTAAAGCTATTTTATAATTGTTTCTTAGAAAAATATACAGGGCTGAGAATGTAGCTTAGTGGGTGAATGCTTGCCTAGCATGCATGAAGCCCTGGATTTGATTCCTCAATACCACTTAAACAGAAAAAGCTGGAAGTGGTGCTGTGATCAAGTGATAGGGTGCTAGCCTTGAGCAAAAGCTCAGGGACAGTGCCCAGGCCCTAAGTTCAAGCCTCAGGGCTAGCAAGAAAAGAAAAAAAATATATAAAAAGGCAGACCAAAATTTGCATATAATTTTTGGAAATGCAAAAATCTCTTTTAGGGACAAAGTCCTTCCTCTTTAAAGGGGTTAAAATATACTTGGTATTTGTAAGTAAGCAACCAAAGTGGGCTAGAGTGGAAATCTAGTCCTCATTTACAATATTGGTTCTATGGGAAAATTCTCCATGCTTTAAATACTGACTCAATAATCGTAAGTACACACACAAAAAAACTGACTTTAACAATCAGAATTCTTAAGGCTGGAACTGCCAGATTCATGTAATGCTAGTAGATATTTAAGGCTATGAGACAATGAGTTCCAAAGAATAATTTCTATTATTTTTCTTACTAATACACCTTTTGACCAGTTGATGGCCTTACAAAGGTAGGGCAATCACTAAAGTATATTATGCCTTACATATTGCTCCTTTTAGATGATTTATATTAAGACTATAATTACAAGCTGGGTATGGTGGTTGGCACCTGTAATCCTAGCTACTTGGGGGGAAATTGTTGAGGATCACTTGAGACCAAAACTTCAAAACTAGGATGGGCAGCATAGTGAAACCCAATGGGGGAAGGGGAGGAAGAAAGGTTGCAACTCATGCAAATCTAAATGGTCATCTTTTTGATATGTTGTCAATGCAGTTAAGGAGACATTGAAGAGTGGCCTGAATCAAGGATTCTTCTTTTCTAGGGTCAAATAGGTATGGATCTCCTCATACAAATTTTAAACTTACTGGATTTGTGAACTACAGTGCATCTCTTGTCTTCAGTAATTTTGTTATTCAATATGTTATCATTAACTGAATAAACATTTTAGAAATTATGTGGGTTAGGCCTGCTGTAGATGATTAGGCCAAGTATAAAGGTAGCTTTGGTTCTGGTTTTATAGAGCTCAGTGGGATTTCATTTTTTTCAGTTTTGGGGCCTCTACTCAGAACTTCTTGTGTAATAGGGAAACACTTTATCACTTGAATTAATGCCCCTGATCCTTTTGCTTTTAGTTTTTTCAGATAGGGTTTTGAGCTTTTGTGGCCTCTGAATGTAATCCTACTTCCCTGCCTGAGTAGTTGGGATTATAGGCATGTGCAACCATACCTGGACCCAGCTGGAAATATTTTTTGACAGTAAAGGTAAATGTGCAGAAGTTCATTGGTGTTAGGCTAAAAGTGAAGGGAGTATTTCACAAAATCACTTTCTGAATGCATCATGATGTAAAGCCTTATAAATTCCAACAGTAGAAGAATTTGGGGTAAAGTATAAAAGGCATCATGCTTATGTTAGAATGAATTACCCACAGAAAATTTGGGAGTTAATAATAAACTGAATATTTTGGGCCTGAAAGAGTTTATGATCATTCCACTTTTAGCAAGTGACCCATGGAGAATCATTTTCCGACACTACCTTTGCTGTCAAAAATGATATACTTGTTGTATGATTTATTAGCTGCAAGTGGCAAAGAGCCAAGTATGCTTTTTTTTTTCACCTGTCACTTTGCTCAGGGATTCCATCAGAGTCACTCCAAGTCTGTCAATGGCAATAATGCCATGAGAACTGAGGAACTGTTTCAAAGATGGGTGCAGAACTTTTTGGCACAAGACGAGATCTACATGGTCACTAACTAGCTGCCTCCCTAGATTAAGCAACTGGTCCAGGGCTGCATTCTCAAGAGACACTCCTGAAGGGACCACCAAAGTTCCTTCTCCGGTGTCAGAAAAATCTCCTGATAAAGAAATACAAAAGAGCGCCACTTTGAGGGCATGGGGTTTTTGGATAGGTAACAATCTCCTCAGTTGAACCTCCGACATGTCAATGAGTATTCCAGGCAGTACAGTGGAATCTGTAACTCTCTGACCCTTTCCAGGCACAATGATGCTCTGTCCTAAGATGACGGGGTCTTCTGTGCTTTCTGGAATTGTCAGCAAAAAGGCTCTCAGAATCAAAGTACTGATGTGCTCTACTTCCTTTCTGGTGAGCATACAGGCGGGTTTGCTTGTTATTATACTGTGTGTCAAGCTAAGTGGAATCTGAGTGCTACTAAAGTCAACTGAGATTCGACAACCACAGGCCTCAGACTTGAGATAACTAGTACAGAGACTCAGAAGATGTTTATTTAATTTAACGACAGTGGTGGGTGTCAAGTCCATTCTCTGAACATTCTCAATCAGGTTGCAGCAAAGAATGGCTGTGAATAAGCCACAGTCACGAGAGCACAACACATGATTTTGCACAGAAGTGGTCAGGATCTTGAGTATGGGATGGGTGACCGGCAGGTTTCTGAGCAGGGCGGAGGACTGCGAGGTTGTGCACACATAACCTCCCAAGCCATTGTGCAGCTGCTTCAGTCTACCGGAAGGGCCATAGCATGATGTTACGATCTCTTTCAAGACAGCCAGTGTGGCCCTGACGCTCTCACTTGTTAGTGGTTCACTTTTACACAATGATGGCTTCCTAGTTTCTAAACGAGACATCTTATTTCAGGTGTACCTTGGGAAGACTGCTTTTATTTTGTTAAACATATTGTCCTATTTATTGTATTGTTAAGTGTTTTAAGATAAAAAATACATTCATCCAGAATGAACATCTGAAAATAGAGCATCATAACTACAAAATTAAATAGTGCTGCTTCTGAAACCAATCAGCAGGTAATGACTTAATGGCATACTGGTAATTCCAAATATTTATTTTCCTTTATTCTTCAACATTCCTTTGTTTGTCTGCAGACTGAGATCTTACAGACTGTTTTGCAACCCTCTGCATAAAGTAAGTTCCAAGATGGACACCTATGAAAGATACTCCAGCTACCAGAAGCCAGTTCTTTCTAATCCAACTGGAGTTTTTCATCTCTTCTTTGAATATTAAACTGATTCAAACTGCTTCTTTCTATAAACAAAAATAAAAACAAAACATTTTAGAAGAGTAATTCCACAACTTTTTAGTGACCACAATTTAATAATTTACTTAAATGCTCTGTTCCATTTTTATAAAAAGAAACTCCAACTATCATACACCTCAAGAAATGAGAAAGGCGAACCAATTTAGACTTAACATTTCTGTATTTTTAATGAATTTACTGTGTCAGATAAAGTGTATTTATTTAAATAATTTTTGAATATACAACATGGCTAAAAAGCTTATAGGACAGTTATTAGGATATGGTAGGCTTCTAGAAGAGAAATGCTATGTTTTTATGTTGCAAAAATAAGAATGATGGTACATGCCTGAAATCCCAGCCATTTGGAAGAGTTGAAAAGATCATAGTTTGAGGGTAGGCCAGGGAAAAAGTTAATGAGATCCCACCTCCTCAAGCCAGACATGGTGGTACTTGCCTATAACCCCAGATACTAGAAGGAATAGTTGGGAGGATTGGGGTCTAAAGCTAGCACAGGCAAAAACATGAGGCTGTATCTCAAAAATAACTAAAAATTAAGAAAGAGCTAGGAGTGTGGCTCAGTGATTGAGCACCTGCCAAGAAAGTCCAAGAGCCTAAGCTCAAACTCCAGTACTGACAACAGGATATACCACAACAGTGGTATAACACATGTCTAAGTCTGTTCAAGGCTCTGAGTTCTAACCTTAGTTCTGTAGCCACCCCCCCAAAAAAAATCCTAAAGAACTAAAATAGTTTACCTACTGAATCTTCAATTAAAAAACCACCCAAATGTTTTATTCTTTTACAGAAAGATTAAATGTTATGTTATCATTTTAAATTTTGTTTTTCTTGGAAACCAGGTTTTAATAGAAAAAGAATTTACATTCAGTCCTACTTGTAAATTATGAAAACTAAACAAGCGTTAGTATTCCTACTACAGATATTCGCTAATGTACAGTCTACATTTATTTTAATAAATCTGCAAGACACAATTCATCAATGTACAAACTATGTTCCTATGCAACTAATCCTCCTCAAAATGTTGGTTAAAGATGAGATACAAAAAGTATGGAAATCAATAGGGACTTTAGCTGACAAAAAAAAAAAAAAAAAAGCAGGACCTGATTTGCAATTCCACCTCCAAAAGTGTGATAATAAAATTTTACGCCCAAATGAAAAAGCAGAAAGGCAGTAGTTTATACTAAAAGGTAGAATATTGTAAGAAACTGCACACTGAGTCATAAGAATCCTGGCACTTTTATAATAATAATGTGTGAAAAGCATAAAAACCTCAGGTCATGGGCCTCAACTGTTGAAGCCTAGCATTTTAAAGATAAAGGTTTAGCCAATTAGTGCTTAGCAAGAATATACTAATTATGGTAGCTTCTTAGAGAGAAATTAGCTTTTTTAAAGCTAATCTAATTACATAGCCTAAAGTACTCTCGGGTAAGGCACAGTAGAGGGGTATATACCAACATGGGATTCTGAAGATGTTTGAAACAGTGGAGGGAGAGAATGTTATGCAAAGTGTTTTGGCTAAGGCTCCCAATGTAAAGGTCCTACAACCATGGCAACTGGCTCAAGGTGAAAACAATGATGGTCAGCTTTCTCTCTTCAACAATAAAGCTACAGGAACTCTTTCTTATGGCAGAAGAACCGTTTTTTTCTTCTGCCACAAGCAGCCACAATGTAAGTATCATTTCAGATTCAGCAAAATCAAAGAAACACATTGCTGGAGCGTTAGTGAAGTGACTTACAAATGGCAATTTATACATTAAAACATATACACATATATAAACAATAGAAACTATGATTCATAAAACGATTTTTTCGGTTAGAACATTCTAGTTGTAATTTTTTAAAATACATAAATAGTGACATATTACTTTAAAAATATGGAATGTCATTTTGGCAATTTTAAGAGCCTTATGGTACTAATACCAGTCACCACATCTTCTAGTTCAGGAATGAGGAATCTTTTCTCTACCAAGTACCATTTGGTTATTTACAATATTTACAACATCATTTGAGTGCCACATAAAATTATCAACACAGGCAGATGTTTCAAGGCATCTGATGAGAAGCACATCTCGTGTTACTACAAAATGAGAAAGAAAAAATTCACAAAAAGAACAGATGATCCTTTAACTCATTTTAAGACATTAAATCTTTGGTTTGAAGAGGTCACCACTCTCATCATTTAGAACTGGATAAACTACAAAGTATAAGAAAAAGGAATGAAACAAGATGTGGGGCTGGTGTATAGACTATATTTAGAGCTGGGAGTTGAGCTTTATTAAAGCTTTCTTTTCCTAAGCAATATGACCCATAATGCTAGAAGTTGCCATTCAAAGGTATAGTTAGTCTTTACTATTCCTGAATAAGCAAGTCTGACAGGCTTTCTTTTGCTTTGTTTTTAAACAATGAGTTACTTAAGTAAAGAAACAGTAAAATATACATGATTATCTTCTAAATTAAGAGAAGCATTATAAAATGCCATTTATAGAAATATATAAAATGGGTAAAATCTTGTCCAAAAAGGAATGAGGGTTCTGGGAAACTAGCCTCTTCTAGGTCTTAGACAAGAGAAAGTAAGGGTTAAGTTAAAAGGGCACAATGATATAGGAATCAATTTGAAGAGGATCTAAGATCCTCTAATCAAAATGGCAACTATGGTGGATTAGCTGAACTGTATGCAAAAATTACAAATATTGGTGCCAAAACAAATTCCTTAGGCTGTTAAGAGCATGGACTCATTATTTTAAAAACCAATAAAGAAGAACAAAGCATTTATTGTAGTTTTCTGTACAAATGCATTTTGGAGGGGAAAGTTTTGCCCGCTAATTAATACATAAGGAATGTAAAGAATTTGAGCAGTATCATTTGCTACTCTGCTAATGAAAGAATGCACTGGACCATCACACCATTGGTAAATTAAGCCCTTGGACTATGTGTAGTTTACTGTCTATTTTTTATATATAGTTTTACTGGAATGGAATTAGGCTCATTGATTTACTTACTGTGTGTGGAAGTTGGGATACATGGTTTGATCCAGTGGGGTTTTTTTTTAATGTGTGTGTGTGTGTGTGTGTGTGTGTGTGTGTGTGTGTTTTGTTTTTTGCTAGTCCTGGGGCTTGAACTCAGAGCCTGCGTCCTGTCCCTGGGCTTTTTCTGCTCAAAGCTAGTGCTCTACCATTTGAATCACAGCTCCACTTTTGCTTTTTGGTGCTTAACTGAAGAATCTCATGGACTTTCCTGCCTGGGCTGGCTTCAAACTGTGGTGTGAGCCACAGGGCCCAGCTTTCTTTTTGGTCCTTTCATAGAAAAGTTTGCCAATTCCTAGATGAGAGCAGTGATTATCAATAGATGTTAATAATTCATTTAGATATTAATGGAGAGAGAAAGCTTATAATGGGGTGAGAAAGCTTAAGAAGTCATTCGTGTTAGCAACATCAAAAAATAGGTCAGACATAATGTGAAACAATATGATATTACCTAGGATATGAAGCATGGCACCATCCATTTAGTATTGTTGTTTTTAAAGCAAATCAAACCAAATTAAAAGAAGTCTTTTGATCTAACTATCTGACGACAGAAAACAAAGAAAGAGAGAGACTTGTACAATGATAAAAAAGATGCAATTAGCTAATTTCAGAATGTGAAAAAAGCTGATCAGGGGAAAAGAAATGAAACAGTCAAAGAAAGAGAAATTATCTATTAAATGTATTATATGTACTTTGTTAGAACTGGATTTCAAGAACCAGTAAATGATTATTTTCCTCCACAAATACAATGCTGGAGTTGTTATCAAGACATGTTATCGTGCCTAGTATTATTGTTAAGTTTCTCAGTGGGACAATGTGAACAAAGTCTGTGTATGTTTACTGTTACTGTTTAAAGATGTGTACTGAGGGCCATATAATCGAGCTTGGTATTTGCTTTAAAATACTTTAGCAATTCAAAAGTAGAGGATAGATTAAAAAAAAAAAACATTAGCAACATTGTGGTGTTAAAGTTGGTGATGGATATTTGAGGGCTCAGTACTTTCTTCTCCCTTTTTAAGTATATGTACAATTTTCTATAATAAATATATAAATAAAAAATAGTAAGGGACAAATAGCACATTCTTTTGATGTACTTCAGCTATTTCAAATTCATGTTTAACCCTTTCTAAATCCTGTTTTCGCTTTTGCTTACCGAAAGCCAGTATAAATATCAGCTTCCATTTGTGTGACTGGCAGTGGCAGCTTCTAAAACTATTCTATTTCATTTTTTGAGACACAGCCTACTTACAAATCAAAGACTGTCCTCAAACACTCCATCCCCCAGCCCCAGCTTCCCCAGTGCTGAGTATGCTAAGTGTGAAATACCATGTGCCCAGCTGTAACAAGTAATCCTAATGGTTTTATATAAGATAGTATCTTAGACCTTTTAGTAATAAGGAACACTTCTGAGGAACCCCAAATGATCTATCTTATTCCAAAATTTTGAGCACAGTACTTAGCTAAAGGTCCAAAAGGTATACTACAACAGAAAATGCTCTCTAATTACAGCAGCACTATTCTTGACCTGGGATCTTCAGGACCAGAAGAGTTTCATATGCCAGGGTCTCTTAGATAGTATATAGTATATAACATCTATAATGAAAATAATTACTGCCTATCCATAACCAATATAGTAAAAGAATAACATTCATAATATAACACATTTCTTCAGTAAAGCTAAATTTCCATATTCAGTGGAAATGAAGACTGCAAGCGGCTTTATGTCAGTTAAGATCAAGTTTTCCTGCCAAAGGAAATTATGACAAATACTTCAGCTCTTAGAACACTTCAGGTTTTTGAATTATGGATGAGAGGCCTAAATTATGTAACTACATCCTCTTTAATTCAGTAACTCTCAAACATAACCAATTATTTTGAGAAATTCTTTTGAGCTAAACATTAGATGCCAAGGAATGGGTTCAACTAGT